ATCCAGGATTGTTTGCTTGGCTTGGAGCACGATTCAAAGTGACTTGTTGTTTAGAAAGGGCAACGGGAGCGTCGCGCGTTTTCGTGTCGACGTGAGATTGTTAGTAGATTAATATTGTTGATGAAACGGAATGGCGAAGCGGGGTGGCTGCAATGGCTACCAGTTGCATGCTGTTTGGCTATGTTGGTAGGTGAGTGGCAGTAACAGGTTTCACTTATTTTAGATGAGAGTACGCGGTGAACAGTTCTTTTGACGTTGCGTGTACTAGCTTGTTGAACACGTTGCGGCAGGTGGGTTGTTTGGCATCAAGTACATGGGGGAGCTTCTATGTTGGGAGCGTAGCGCCGGCGTGTCTCTTTCGGGAACAGGAGACAGAGGAGGAGTTTAGCGGTGAGGACACAGAGGCGGACTGCCTTGGCGTCCATCCCGATGACCCTTGCTGGGACTCCACCACTAACCTCATGATTTGCAAGCTGCCCGCCAGGTGGGTCCGGTCCCAAGGGAGGTCGACGGGTTCGACGGGGAAGAAGAGGCACCCGCAAAGTTTGTTCGGCTTCTCCCCCCCAAAGAAAACAACCAACACCTCAAAAAGAGCGAGCCCTCCGAATTTTGTGGGGCCCCCCCAAAGGTTCGGCTTCCCCATCCAAAAAAACCCAACAAAGACCTCCAAAAAAGCGAGCCCTCCAAATTTTGTGGTTAGCAGGTGCTCAATTTGACAGCCCAACTTTCTTAAAGAACGACGGAGGTGCACCCAGGCAGAGCTGACCGCCTTCATTCGGAAGACCGTCCCTGGCTTCGAGCTCCAGATTTCTTTGCCTCGCTCGGAGAGCGGGCGGAACCGCGGCTACGGCTTCGTGCAGGTTGGGGGTGACATAGTTGGCTAAAATATGTTATGGCGAGCTTCCCTGGAGGTAATTTACGCGAGCTTACCATGATGAAGGTCTGTGAAAAAGGGATTTGGGGTAACATACAGTGGGGTGGTGGGTGGGGGAGCGTTTCCCCAAAGGCTTGAGGCACGACATCTTGTGATCATTGGCTTGAATGGGAACTCCGAGAGGTTGGGTCCCTGCTTCAAACTCAGCCACACACTGGTTGCATTCCTGTTTCGTTGGAAACATGGGTAAACCGCATGTAGGGTACCTTTTTTGGTGGGTTTCCCACCCCATTTGCTTTGACTTCAACAACTCACTCTCCATCCCCCGGATAAAGACACAGAATCAAGAACACAGCGAGCTCCTCTCCAGCCCTTATCTTTCTTTCGCCCAGGTGCGGCACGGGTCCATGCGGGAGCTGGTGCGGCGTCTGTGGAACTCCCGCATACCCACGCGCCAGTCCCAACGACCCTTGAAGCTGCAGCCGGCCAGGAGGTGAGAAAGAGGGGACCGAGGGGTCCCTGAGATCAGGGGGGTCTTTTTGCCAGCTTTGTGAGAAAATTGGCGACCCCCTCAAAAAGGAATCCTTCACTACGAGGGGGTCGATCATTTTTCCACAGAAGGTGGCAAAAAGACCCCCCTGCCTGAGATGTCATACACCAGCGGTCAGGGAATTTGTAAGGAGACACCCAGTTGAACACCTCTCCGCAAAAGGCGGAGTGCCCTTTGGGCAGGTGGAAGTAGATGGCACAATTTGCCTCTCTGTCGGGATGAGATGCCCTGATGCCATAAGACGACAGGCTCCCAAAAGGGGGGTGGCCTGGTCTTGACAGCCTTGCCGGTACAGGCCATACCCGGCGAGCGCATATTCACAATGACAACCCACCAAAAAAGGTTTGGAACGGCAAGCTGCCAGACGCGAGTTTCGTAGGTACTGAATGCAGAAATGCATTGAATTCATGTACCTGGGTCCTCCAAACCATTCCTCCACTTGAAGCAGAATGCTCTTTTGGTGGAGAAGTTTCCTATAATCAGCAATCCGCGCGGTGTTGGGCAAGCGCATGCTCCAAGGGAGCATTTGCACCGCGCTCTTCTTCCAACGCCTTAGATCGAGCTGGAGATGTTGCGAGCATCAAACCCGTTGAGTCGCGGAAAAAGCAAATGCGACGGTGGGACCTGGCCGGGCCATGCTGCAGATCCATCCTCCCCGCTTCGACTTTGGGGTGTGGGGATTTTTCTCTTCTTCAGGGATCGTTCAATTCAGCGCGTGCGAACACACTCCGACAGATAAGTTGTTACATTTTGAGGAGAAGCTGATGGTTTCATTCATTCCAAGTGCGGTAGCTGCACGAAGACAGCCACACGGCAGCTGCACGAAGACCGCCAACAGAAGCAAACCTTTTCCCCTGGATCGTGTTGCAGCTTTCCGACGAGATGATGCCGGTGCAGATGCAGATTTGGAGGACATTTTGGGATGCTGGTGAAGCTGCGTGATGATTGCTGCAGAATCGAGCCCTAAACCCCCCCCAACTTTGCAGAAAAAACGATTCCTGAGTGTGACCCGAACACCCAGCACCCAGCGCCCAAAACCCAACCTACCACAGAACCTTGCCCAAAGCCCACCGCAAGAAGACGCCATTTGACCCGCGCCAACGTAAGCAAAAAAAGCAAATCTCGCCCTCGCCGTGGTTTTTGACCAGCAAGTTGGACCTCACGCATTTTCCCACAAAAATCGGGGGAAAGTGTCGCGCTTCCATTGCGCCGTCGCCGCCGCCTTCGCGGCTCGAAGCTGCGCAATGGATCTGTAGTTGGCGTACCTCCGAGAGGCGACCCGCCATGAGCGCCCGAAGCCTCAGATGGGCATGGTTCCACTGACGACTCAACTGGGCCACAAAGGTTTATTGTTTGCGTTGCTTTGCTTTCCTTTTCGTTGCTTGTCGTTGCTTTGCGTTGCTTTGCGTTGCTTGTCGTTGCTTTGCTTTCCTTTTCGTTGCTTGTCGTTGCTTTGCGTTGCTTTGCGTTGCTTGTCGTTGCTTTGCTTTCCTTTTCGTTGCTTGTCGTTGCTGCTTGCTTTGTCGCTGCTTGTCGTTGCTTTGCGTTGCTTTGTTGCTTTTTGCTTTGCCGTTTGCTTGTTTGCTTTCGTTGCTTTGCGTTGCTTGTTGCTTTGCTTGCTTTGCGTTTGCTTGTCGTTGCTTTGCGTATGCTTGCTTTTGCTTGCTCGTTGCTTTGCTTTGCTTGTTGCTTTTGCTTTGCGTTGCTCGTTGCTTTGCGTTGCTTTGCGTTGCTTGTCGTTGCGTTGCTTGTTGCTTGTTGCTTGTGTTGCTTTGCGTTGCTTTGCGTTGCTTGTCGTTGCTTTGCGTTGCTTGTCGTTGCTTTGCGTTGCTTTGCGTTGCGTGCTTTGCTTTCCTTTTCGTTGCTTGTGCGTTGCTTTGCGTTGCTTGTCGTTGCTTTGCTTTCCTTTTCGTTGCTTGTCGTTGCTTTGCGTTGCTTTGCGTTGCTTGCTCGTTGCTTTGCGTTGCTTTGCGTTGCTTTGCTTGTTGCTTTGCTTTGCTTGCTTTGCGTTGCTTGTCGTTGCTTTGCGTTGCTTTGCGTTGCTTGTCGTTGCTTTGTTGCTTGTCGTTGCTTTGCTTGTCGTTGCTTTGCGCTGCTTGTCGTTGCTTTGCGTTGCTTTGCGTTGCTTTGTTGCTTTGCGTTGCTTTTTGTTGCTTGTCGTTGCTTTGCGCTGCTTTGCGTTGCTTGTCGTTGCTTTGCTTTCCTTTTCGTTGCTTGTCGTTGCTTTGCGTTGCTTGTCGTTGCTTTGCGTTGCTTGTCGTTGCTTTGCGTTGCTTTGCGTTGCTTTGCGTTGCTTGTCGTTGCTTTGCTTTCCTTTTCGTTGCTTGTCGTTGCTTTGCGTTGCTTTGCGTTGCTTGTCGTTGCTTTTCGTTGCTTGTCGTTGCTCGCATTGCTTGTCGTTGCTTTGCGCTGCTTGTCGTTGCTTTGCGTTGCTTTGCGTTGCTTTGCGTTGCTTTGCGTTGCTTTTTGTTGCTTGTCGTTGCTTTGCGCTGCTTTGCGTTGCTTGTCGTTGCTTTGCTTTCCTTTTCGTTGCTTGTCGTTGCTTTGCGTTGCTTGTCGTTGCTTTGCGTTGCTTGTCGTTGCTTTGCGTTGCTTTGCGTTGCTTTGCGTTGCTTTGCGTTGCTTTGCGTTGCTTTTTGTTGCTTGTTGTTGCTTTGCGTTGCTTTGCGTTGCTTGTCGTTGCTTTGCTTTCCTTTTCGTTGCTTGTCGTTGCTTTGCGTTGCTTGTCGCTGCTTGTCGTTGCTTTGCGTTGCTTTGCGTTGCTTTGCGTTGCTTGTCGTTGCTTTGCTTTCCTTTTCGTTGCTTGTCGTTGCTTTGCGTTGCTTTGCGTTGCTTGTCGTTGCTTTGCTTTGCCTTTTCGTTGCTTTGTCGTTGCTTTGCGTTGCTTTGTCGTTGCTTTGCGTTGCTTGTTGCGTTGCTTTGCGTTGCTTTGCGTTGCTTTGCGTTGCTTTGCGTTGCTTTGCGTTGCTTTTTGCTTTCGCTTGCGTTGCTTGCTTGCTGCGTTGCTTTGCGTTGCTTGCGTTGCTTGTTGCTTTGCATTGCTTGGCGTTGCTTTTTGCTTTGCGTTGCTTTGCGTTGCTTGTTGTTGCTTTGCGTTGCTTTGTTGCGTCTTGCTTTGTTGCTTGTTGCTTTGCGTTGCTTTGCGTTTTGCGTTGCTTTGCGTTGCTTTGCGTTGCTTTGCGTTGCTTTGCGTTGCTTTGCGTTGCTTGTCGTTGCTTTGCGTTGCTTTGCGTTGCTTGTTGTTGCTTTGCGTTGCTTGTCGTTGCTTTGTGTTGCTTGTCGTTGCTTTGCGTTGCTTTGCGCTGCTTTGCGTTGCTTTGCGTTGCTTTGCGTTGTTTTGCTTTGTTGCTTGTCGTTGCTTTGCGTTGCTTTGCGCTGCTTTGCGTTGCTTTGCGTTGCTTTGCGTTGTTTTGCGTTGCTTGTCGTTGCTTTGCGTTGCTTTGCGTTGCTTGTCGTTGCTTTGCGTTACTTTGCGTTGCTTTGCGTTGCTTGGCGTTGCTTTGCGCCGCTTTGCGTAGTGTCGTTGCTTTGCCTCGCTTTGCGTTGCTTGTCGTTGCTTTGCGTTGCTTTGCATTGCTTTGTGGTGCTTTGCGTTGCTTGTCGTTGCTTTGCGTTGCTTGTCGTTGCTTTGCGTTGCTTTGCGTTGCTTGTCGTTGCTTTGCGTTGCTTTTCGTTGCTTTGCGTTGCTTTGCGTTGCTTTGCGTTGATTGTTGTTGCTTTGCGTTGCTTGTCGTTGCTTTGCGTTGCTTGTCGTTGCTTTGCGTTGCTTTGCGCTGCTTTGCGTTGCTTTGCGTTGCTTTGCGTTGCTTTGCGTTGCTTGTCGTTGCTTTGCGTTGCTTGTCGTTGCTTTGCGTTGCTTTGCGTTGCTTTGCGTTGCTTTGCGTTGCTTGTCGTTGCTTTGCGATGCTTTGCGTTGCTTTGCGTTGCTTTGCGTTGCTTTGCGTTGCTTGTCGTTGCTTTGCGTTTCTTTGCGTTGCTTGTCGTTTCTTTGCGTTGCTTTGCGTTGCTTGTCGTTGCTTTGCGTTGCTTGTCGTTGCTTTGCGTTGCTTTGCGTTGCTTTGCGTTGCTTGTCGTTGCCTTGCGTTGCTTTGCTTGTCGTTTCTTTGCGTTGCTTTGCGTTGCTTTGCGTTGATTGTTGTTGCTTTGCGCTGCTTTCCGCTGCTTGTCGTTGCTTTGACTATGCGTTGCTTTGCGTTGCTTTGCGTTGCTTGTTGTTGCTTTGCGCTGCTTTGCGTTGCTGTCTTGGTTGCTTGATTGCTTGATTGCTTGCTTGTTTGTTTTTTGCTTGATTGATTGCTTGCTTGCTTGCTTGCTTGCTTGCTTTTGTTTGTTTTTTTTTGTTGCGAAGCAAGAACAAGGGGGAAGAAGAAGGAAGAAGAAGAATGAAGAAGTAGAAGGAAGAAGAAAAAGCAAGAAGAAGCAGAAGAAGAAGAAGACGCAGAAGAAGAAGAAGAAGAAGAAGAAGAAGAAGAAGAAGAAGAAGAAGAAGAAGAAGAATAAAATATATGAAGTAAGGCGCAACAGAGCCTTTAGGGGAGTGCATTCTTTGTGTTTGATCCGTGGCTGGTCTGTTGCTCGGACCGGGGTCGAGAAGGCGAAACGGTTCCCTTGAAAGCTACAGCGCCCTTCAGCTTTGGGACCTGGCGGTGGGCCAACCACTTCCATTTGGAAGGAAGCTACCAATGCCCGTGCGAGCAATAGTGAAAGTCGCCGGAGTGTGTGTGGCTCTCGGCCCATCTAAGATTTTATCTCCATGACATGGATGTGCCAAGGCTTTTGCTTTTCGATCCCTCTGGCTGCCTTGCCCGAGAAATCTCCGGGCCTAAGGTTGAAACAGAAAAATACTGCACCGCCCGGAGGCCCAGACGCTACCCCATGAGGTAGGGTAGCCTTTCGCTTTTTCAAAGTTCATGAGCTGAAAGGCGAACGGCAGCCGATGGCTTCCATTTGAGCTTTGACGAAGCAGACAAGTCTTGTGCCAAAGAATGTGTTTCGTTTTCGATTTGATGTGGCTGTGGGTCAAAACCAATTGTACCATTTTGGGGTAGGTGCACCACCCATTTTAGTCTATTTGAGTGGGGATTGGGATGTTCATTGGGGGTACGATTTGGAACTTGACCCATGGCCATGTGCATCCCGGACTCAAAGCAACCACTGTTGCGCAAGGCCTGCTTTTCTGTGGTTTGCTTGTTTGGAGTGGCAAGGGAGGCAGTGCCAGATGTTCGCCCGGCATGTCTTTGCCATCGCCATCTTCGGCATTTTCCAAGGCGGTCTTCCGCATCGTTTTTTTTTTTGGTATTCAGCAAGCGTTGGAAGCGAAGTTGGCATCTGGTTGAGCCCATCATTTTGATGGTTAGGCGTTATCAGAGTCAGAACGTGGCATCATGTCTTCTAAACCTGTGGGGATGGTTGGGCGTCATCAGAGTTAGAACGTGGCATCATTTCTTCTAAACCTTTGGGGATGGTTGGGCGTTGTCAGAGTCAGAACGTGGCATCATGTCTTCTAAATCTTTGGGGATGGTTGGGCGTTATCAGAGTCAGAACGTGGCATCATTTCTTCTAAACCTTTCGGGATGGTTGGGCGTTATCAGAGTCAGAACGTGGCATCATTTCTTCTAAACCTTTGGGGATGGGTAGGCGCTATCAGAGTCAGAACGTGGCATCAGTTTTTCTGAACCTTTTGGGATGGTTGGGCGTTATGAGAGTCAGAACCTGGCATCATGTCTTCTAAACCTTCAGGGATGGTTGGGCGTTATCAGAGTCAGAACGTGGCATCATTTCTTCTAAACCTTTGGGGATGGTTGGGCGTTATCAGAGTTAGAACGTGGCATCATGTCTTCTAAACCTTTGAGGATGGTTGGGCGTTATGAGAGTCAGAACGTGGCATAATTTTTCTTCTAAACCTTTCGGGATGGTTGGGTGTTATCAGAGTCAGAACGTGGCATCATTTCTTAAACCTTCGGGGATGGTTCGGCGTTATCAGAGTCAGAACGTGGCATCATTTCTTCTAAACCTTTGGGGATGGTTGGGCGTTGTCAGAGTCAGAACGTGGCATCATGTCTTCTAAATCTTTGGG